GGATGGAGAGTTGTCTCATTGGCACTCATACCACATCTTCTTATATCTATGAAACTCCACCTACCGCGGGACGCACTAATAATGGACCAGAGGCAATGCATAAGCACAACAATAAACTGTTTTTTTTTTTATCGCATCCTTCTATGTTTGTATTTTCGGACATTATCGTAAACTTTCAGGCTTCTATACTTACATTAAATTGCACAATGTAAATTCAACAGCAGTTTAATTATATGCTGAAACTCGATGAGGAAAATTATTTTATAGACGATGCAACCATAGATTGATAATTCTTTTTCGTTAAATTTTGAATAATAAAACTCCAGAAATTAAGAGACTTAATGCTTGATTCAGTGGGAAGTAAACATGACCATTATACAAGACAAAAAAATAATATTACACAGCTCAACATACGGACCCGTTTATATTCTGAATATTTATATCCCAGCAACAACAAGACTAATGCCGGGTCATTGCTTTTTATTAAAATAAATTGGCGCAATCGTATACTTTATTTTTGGCTCTAATGATACTAGGCATTTTGAAAACTACATGTAGTAGCGCAAATAAGTTGTGGCGCAAAAGGACGCATTTTTGGCGCTAACGGATTTCTTCCCAAATATACACATTTTAAAATGTACTGTGAAAACGAAAATATCGACTAGCCGAAAAATAATAATGAAGATTTATCAGATGTATATTTTAACGTAAAAAAGAAGTATTGGACAATTATGGAAAAGGTTATTCAAACGAATTTGAACAGTTGGAACTTTTGAAAGCTGCAAGAAAAGTATCTTCACAAATTCTGAGTATTGTCTTACAGGAAAAACGTAAAGCTGCAAGAAAAGTAATGGGCTTATCTATATATCTGCACAAATTCTGATCATTACAAGAAGTTAGGTTGGATTCTTAAAAAGAATAAAGAAAACTACAGAGGTTTTGTAATATTAAGTATCAAGAACATTAATTCGCTGACAATATATATATATATATATATGTTGTGTACAAGTTATCATTTTGTACAAATTATAATTTGTATGTTGACTTTGTACAAATTATAATTTGTCCAAAGTATGCTTGTACAAAATTCACTAACTTGTACAAAGGATATATGATAATTTAACACTGAGACTACTATAACACACAGTAGTCTCGGTTTAACATGATAGAAAAAATGGCCTTTTATATATTTTTAACAGTAGTACATTTTAATTTCCATGAGGAAACATGTTTGCAGTAAACTCTTCTTGAACACTTTTGGACTGTTCATTATTTTGGGGTCAATTGTTTTAATAAATTGTCAAAGATATATATATATACCCGGTGTTTATGAACACTCTTTTTGGTCATTTACTCATTTGATGTACTAGTCATGGCCAGCATTGTTGATTAGCAAGATAAAATTGTCCGAGAAATTCTGAACCTAGCAGAGAATAATACACGAGAGCACAATCATGTGTTCACCAAGGATTTTTGGTACAGCATTGGAACAGCTGTAGAAATTTAACAGGATATTTGTCTAGAATTCAAATTGAAGCTGTTAAAGACACATGTTTATTTGCAGCAACGACTCATGAGCTTCAACTTTCGCCACGTGAAGCAGTTAAAAAGCTTTTAAAAACTGGTGGTCAGGGGTTTCTTTCATGTAAATGCAAAGAGGTGCAGCACTTTTTCATGTAAAAACAAGAAATTATTTGAATCTGGAATAATTTTGAATTCCAGAAAATTGATAAGAAATGTATGATAAAACTAACCCAATTAAGGAGGATTAGTCATGCATGCTCGGTTAAGGGGAGTTAGTTACTTCATACTGAAATATCAGTCAAAGTAACGTGAACCTTAGCCATGCGCTAAAGTTGGGTTTATTTTCATCATACATTTCTTAACAATTTTCCAGAATTCAAAATTATTCCAGATTAAGATAATTCCTTTTTTTAAATGTAAAAAGCAAAAGATGTTGTGCAATTCCAGATCCCATAATTCACTCACATGCTCAAACAAATGATACAGAATTAATTTTGTATTTTGTAAATAAGGTTTACTGTGTGGTCATTACATATAATTGCTATAGTGTGTAATAATGCTTTTTTTTTTTAAAACCAAATTCATATTATAAATTATTGTACAAGTTATAAGTGAATTCTAGACAAATTTTGTAAAAATTGTAATTTATACAAGAACGTTTTGGACGAATTACAATTTGTACAAATTTAAAATACAACAAATTATAATTTGTACAATTTTGTGGTACAAAATGACAACTTGTACACACCATTTAAATTCTAAGCAACCTTGACCTTCAAACATTCAAGATACAACACAATATCCTTGACAATTGGACAAGATATCATTTTACCATTTTGCAGGTTGTAGCTTACTTCTCAATCATTTATTCCATCAAAAACTAAACATTGGAATCGTATGGACCTGTCGATTAATTATGCCTAATCTAAATTCAAATCTGAATTGAAAAAAATACGGGATTCGAAATCGGAACCCATTCCGCAGTGGCGGATCCAGAAATTTTCCTATGTGGGGGGGGCACTGACTGCCTAAGAGGGGCCCACTCCAGTCATGCTTCAGTGATTCTCTATATAGTCAACCAATTTTTTCCCACAAAAAGGGGGGGGGGGGAGCGGGCCCCCTGGAAACCCATCTAAATTCGCCTCTGAATTTCCTAAATACTATTTGTATGGTCCAAGATTAGCGAAAATAGATGTTCGGCGTCTTTCCTGAACTATGTCTAGGCCTAATAATATATCTATACGCCTGTATGAATAACATCTTGAAATCGTGAAACAACATGTCGATGTGGTTCGGATATCGTGGATATTCAACTTTTGAAAATTAATTGAGAGACGAAAATGATTCCTTGTGATACATCGTCATCGTTTGGGTTTTTTTTTTTTTTTTTTTGGGGGGGGGGGGGGGGTTATGGGTTTTTGTTTTTACGTTTTTTATCACTTTTTCTTGCGCTTCAGCTTAGCTTCGTGATATTAAAGCTATATATTATATTTTATAAACTCTAATTCTATGATTATGATTATCGCTCTCTCGAAATTAAATTGACATTAACACGTGCTATGAATACATTTTATCGAATTGAAAGTATAAAGTGACGGCCGGGTGAACTTTTAACTTTTTTGTTGAATTATGTTTTATACATTAATATATATTCATGTTGTATTACACATGTCACTTTACCAAACAATTTGCTTACTTACTTACCTATATTGCATGGTCACTATAATGTTGTTTTGATACATGTATATAGTGTATCGTGGAGAAGACTACAGTATGCATGTTCCATTTTGCTTTGAAAAAATAAAACTAAACTTCAAACCTCACACTATATCACATATCTTGACTTATATACGTCTTGTGGATATGCACTTAAACAAACTTTTTAACAAGTCTTCATGAGAGATATTTCGTGACAAGTTGAATGTGTTTAATTAATTTCATACAGAGTCAAGATTCTATCTAGAAAAATTGATACGTTGTCCTTGTAGCCGATGATTTTATTAAAAAAAATCCTTGGTTACGCTTTGAATAAAATTTTGTAGGAATTATGTCAATTATTTTGAAAAAAATTTTTTTTTTATAAAACTCCCAACTCTTACTTTTGTGTTATTCAAAAGAGGTTAGACTAATTTCCCGTGAAATCATTTCACATAAGAGCATTCTTCAAAAAAATTTCAATCTCAACAGTATCAGAGTTTTATATGTGCAAGTCTAAAGTTTTATATGTGTATACTTAAGTTTCTAATTAACCTCTATATCTTGCGGTAACAGCAACATAATAATAATAATAATAATAATAATAATAATAATAATAATAATAATAATAATAATAATAATAATAATAATAATAATAATAATAATATACTGGTTGAATAAAAAAAAACCTTTTAAACGAAATTCAGTTTTGCTATATATACACTGGCAAATTGGCTTCAAAAGTTTTTTTTTTAAATAATGAAACATTCTATGTAGAATTGTGTAGATAGATATAAGAAGATGTGGTATGAGTGCCAATGAGACAACTCTCCAGACCATGTTTTATACGTATTTTATATGATCTGTAACATTTAGATATATTCTATTTATTCCACTTTGGGCCAGACTCTGACTTTGGGCCAGACTCTGACTTTGGGCCAGACTCTGACTTTGGGCCAGACTCTGACTTTGGGCCAGACTCTGACTTTGGGCCAGACTCTGACTTTGGGCCAGACTCTGACTTTGGGCAACGGAAGTCATTTATTGTTGGATAAAAGTTAGACACGAATCAAACAGAAATTCAAATATTGGAATAAAAAAAAAACAGTAAAAGATTTTTTTTCAAATCGAAATTAAAAAGTATTAGCAGGTTAATAATTTCTAAACACTAAGATTGTATTATACTAATGTAGAGATCGGTTAAACAAATACATTGCCACGGCCATTAAATTAATAAAGTTTAATCGTCATATCTATTTTAACCGAAGTCGACATTTTACAAGTTATAATATCAGTTGTGTTTTGTGGTTTTGCAAAAAAAAATGTATGTCTTTTAAGTTGTATGCGCTGCATAACTACATGTATTAAAATTAAGATGTATAATAATAATCCTATGCTTTCAGAATAGGAAAGAAAGTGAACTGATATAATGATTTCCGGACGTATATCCACAAATATTTGCACAAGGCGAATATTTTCGCACTTTTTGTGAAATAATCCAATAACAAGTCATACATGTAAACAAAATATATTCAGTTGGGTGTGAAATGGCAGTCTGATGACCAGAAGTATGCCCGCTGACATTAATCCATTGGATTATCTGTATCCTCTGTGGCTAGCGGGCGTGGTCTTGCAACTTGAGATGGGGCATCTGGACCAAGACGTCAAACACTCCCTGCCGTGTCAATCTACATTAATATAGATATGTTTGTTTATTTATCATAATGATATGATGGTTAGGTACATCTTTGCCAAGACGTAACAAAGTGGTAAGATAATCGCTGTCATTATTATACTGGGACTTCACATTTACAGCAGTCACATCTCTATTTTCTTTGATTTCACAAAACAAGTGGAAGTTTTGCTACTTTTTGCCTTTAATTGCTACCAAATGTTAAGCACTAACATGATTTCTGAAGATTTGATTGATAAGCACTCCATGTACTTGAACTATATTAAACCATCTGAGACTGTCGACGTCGATACAGCGGAGTATACCGAAGGGCTAGAAACATTGCAACCCATGGACCACAAATCTCAAATCAATAATCATCATTCTATTGAGGGCATATTAGCTGGACGGAAAGAAATGGACAGATTACACAAAGGTACAAATTAATATGTATTAGAGTTGTAATTTAATTAATTATCAGAAATTATTAAATTAGGATCAGTATATTAATATGGCGGAAATGAATATAAGCGGGTTTGTATCAGGTGTTATCAAAGATGAAATACATTTTTATAATTGGATTTTTAATATTCATATTATTTATGCTATTATGCATTTGTTTTATATTTTTAATTTTTACATAATTCATTTAATTATGTATTTTTATTATAATTTAGTTACATCTTTCTTTAAGATTTTAAGAAAATGACAATAAGTTGGAATATTTCTAAACGGTTCTTATTAAAATCAAACTATCCTTAAAGTATAAAAATTTGATTTGAATTATTCATTAAGAATTCTTTCGTTTATTTACTCTTTTTCAGAATTTATTGACCATACAACTAAGAATTCAGAAACTTCTCCGGAAAACAAAAATAAAACTCCAAAGTCGGATAAAGGAGTTTCTAAGGATCTTAATTCATCGGTTGATAGCTTATCACGAAAGTCGGAATCAACGGAGGACGAAGATGAAAATATAAAGAAGGAAGAAACTGACGACGCTAGAAATAAAAAGAGACGAAATAGGACGACATTCACAAGTTTTCAGTTGGAAGAAATGGAACGTGTTTTCCAAAAGACTCATTATCCAGACGTATATGCGCGGGAACAGTTAGCTCTTAGATGTAACTTAACCGAAGCCAGAGTACAGGTAGGAAATTATTCTTTCTTTCTTTCATTTTATTTCTTTTCTTTCTTTTATAATATTTCTATTCTTTCTTTCGTTATATTTCTTTTCTTTCTTTTATAATCTTTTTTTCTTTTTTTTCTTTTATTATTTTCCTTTTCTTTCTTTTATTATCTTTCTTTCTTTTCTTTCTTTTATTATATTTCTTTCTTTCAATTATGTGTTTTTCTTTTTTCTTTATTTTACTTCTTATTATTTATTTGTTTAAGAGTTGTTAGCGTAAAAGAATCAATTCTTTCTTTATTTTGCTTTTTATTGTTTTATTCTTCGCAATGCTACATTGTAAATCATGGGGGCTGTTAAAATAATGGAAATAAAAAAACAATGTTGCTGTCGTCATTATAATAACTTCCATGTTGTCGTCATTATAATAACTTCCATGCTGTCGCAAACCGGCGAATCCCAGTATTTGTTTCAAATTCACTGTCTTATATTTACGATTTTACTATCCGGATATTTACTTTTTTCATTAAAATTCATATGGCCAAAAGCAGAGCTCTATAGCCAATGAAAGGAAAATAATAAGAAAATCAATAAGTAAATAAATAATATATAATAACTTCTACCGAGAAAAAAAATCAGTTTGATTTTTAAATCTCGGAAAAATATCCCTATAATAAAAATGATTCAACTTATATCTTTATATCTTTATACATTTGTATTAGTTTTTTGGTGAAAACCTGTACAGTTGACTTCTGGAAATGATAAATCAATCTAAAGTAACAATTTCTAATTTATGAACTTTTCATATATTATAATAAAGAGTATAAGACAATAATAATCTCTTCCTTTTAACAATGATAGACATTTATAAATAGGTATATAATTGAATGTATTAGTCGCGTTAGGGATCAAAAAGGTAATTTTACGAAAGAGTAGCAGCCACGTGTGGTTGATTATTGGCTATTTACACTAAATAAACAAATTGATGTTTTACAACACATGTACGTGTGACCTCCTGTTGTTCGTTTATTGTCAGACTTGTTATTTTTATTGACAAACTCGTTATTTCATCAGCAGATTATTGAGTTTAGGAGGAATTAATCCTCATTATAATAAACATCTTATTTCACATAACTGACATATCAATGAAACCAGTCTACCTTTCTAAAAAAAAATATTTATTCAAAACAAATTAAGAGTGGTTAAAATAGAAAGAAAGATATATATATTAAGTCAATATATTAATTTTTGTTTGCCTTAGTTAATTTATTAATTGCTACTAATTCCGTTCATTGTAAAAATAAGTATTTATTAAAAAGGGTCAAATTTAACAAATTGAAAAAAGAAAGACGTAAATTATTACAAATTCCTTTCACTGAAAATAAGTATTGCATAAAAAGGACAAATTCAAGTAAAAAAAGAAAGATATTTGTTTAATTAGCTTTGTGTCAACGATAATTTCATATTTTGAGTCGCACTCTGAGAAATTTCTTCAAAGTTATAGTGTGATTTTGTGCTAAAATAAGCTTTTACTTGAGAAGATAGTAGAATTTTTTCGATGCTACTTTTGCGTACTTATAATCCGGTACAGATGTACTCGGTTATGGACTTGCTTATTCTATACGGTGTCCTTTGTCGCTGTTTTTGGCTGAATTAATATTCAAACCACGAAATAATGCTGTAACAAAGGAGGGTTAATTCCGGGACAAAACGTCCTAAAGCACTGCGTCCATGTTGCAAACATATGCGAAGCCCAATATTGAAACCATTTCTGTAAATTGAAACAAATGAGCTTCCCGTAGAGTTTTTATTTCAAACAGATAGCTTTTCTCTTCTTTTTTTTCTACAAAAATTCTACCTATGGTATTTGCATAGCAATTTATACACAACATCTTTATCTAAACACTTCCCGATGAAGAAATTTGTTCCGTTTTCGTAGTTTCCGTATGTTTTTCATTTTTGATAGACGCGTTTTAGAGTATTTTTGTTGTTGTTGTTGGTCGTTTTTTTTTATTTGCTTTTCGTTGGTTTTTTTTATTTTCACTCTTTTTTTCAGATTATTATTATTTCATAAAACACGGGAAAATTATTTGGAGATTTCGATCTAAATTCCGTAAAGTTTAACACACAACATCTTTAAACCAAATATTTTGAAATTAACTTATTGATGAAGATCTATGGTTTTTGGATATACCTCCATTGGGAACGATTAAACCTAAACATTTGCAAGCCCCGGATGTATAAATACATTAAAAAAAACGTAGAAATCTAAAAAATACAAAAAGGAACCCAACAAGCTCATCTAAGGCCGAAGTTGCCTGAGGAAGGTGGAACTTTATCTAAACGTATATGACATAAAAAAAGGATCAAATAGGGATAAGTGTTTCTCGTTTTTTATATAGATTAGACCGTTGGTTTTCCCGTTTGAATGGTTTTACACTAGTAATTTTTGGGGCCCTTTATAGCTTGCTGTTCGGTGTGAGCCAAGGCTTCGTGTTGAAGACCGTACTTTGACCAATAATGGTTTGCTTTTATAAATTTTGACTTGGATGGAGAGTTGTCTCATTGGCACTCATACCACATCTTCTTATATCTATATAAGATAAAGAAGCAAGTTTGAACTAAAAAAAAACAACAAAATTGATCGATGGGTGAAGGAGGGTAAATTCATCGTAAGTAGTCTTATAGAAATATAGTAAGGTGATATATATTTATCTGGTTTAATATCTTTGAATTCAGAGCCGTTATAGGAAATACTAAAGATGAAAATAAAACTGAAACAAAAGAGAAAAAAAAAGATTAATTATTTCTGTCCAACCATCAAGTAAAATATGTCGAAAGAATAAATATAATTTTAATAATAAATATAATGTGCATGATAATTTATTGAAAAGAAATGGAGCTTAAACATGAAATATAAATAGAATGATACAAAAAAAGCTATAAAAAACTTCCTGATTTTCATTTTTGATAAAATTTTAAATTTCCAGATACAATGAAAGTTACAATAGGAACAAAAAACATCAACATTTGACAAGATGAAGACAAACAATAGCAGGCTTTTTCTTTTCCTATTTTGCTTGTTTCGTGAAAAACGTTTTTTATATAGATTATACCGTTGGTTTTCCCGTTTGAATGGTTTTACACTAGTAATTTTGGGGCCCTTTATAGCTTACTGTTCGGTGTGAGCCAAGGCTCCGTGTTGAAGACCGTACTGTGACCTATAATGGTTTACTTTTATAAATTTTGACTTGGATGGAGAGTTGTCTCATTGGCACTCATATACCACATCTTCTTATATCTATATACATGTTATATGGTTGTCCTTTTTTCCTAGATATTGTTAATGGCCAAATGTTTTTATTGAATATAAAGCAAGTCAAGTCAATGGCATAGTTAAACTTATACATGTGTTTTGGGGTTGTTTCTGTCGTTGGATTGCTGTTTCATTGACTTTTACCCAGCATCCCTTATTATTCAGATCAACAATGTAAAATAAAATAGTGTATATGATATATACTGTAGAACAGGAATGTAATGTACCGTGTATATGTCAACGAATGAATATATATATTTGCATACAAGTAATATAAATGTGTTTTTTAACTATAATATTACTATAGTGAAATGTTATCCGGATTTAGATAGTTTTGCGTTTTATGAATAGTTTATATATATATATATTAATAGTTGTCCCCATTTTTCATAGATTAATATTACAGAATTTAACTACACTGGTCACCGAAATCACCGGAGTCACAGAGATGACCAAACCAGTCCATTCTTTTAATTAAATACCTTCATGGTCGTATGACATATTCTTTGAGAACATTGCAGAATTATTCCTGTATAAATTAATGCCTTTTAAGTAATGGTATTTCAACATGGCCAACCCGAAATGTAAAGGATTTCGCTCAATAAAAAAATCCTAAGGTTGTCGTTGGACAAGAAATATGCATTTATCCTTTGTATATTCATTCGTACAAGTGCAGTTGCCAGAGTAAATATGAAATATAAAAAGCAAGAAAAGAGATATTTTCACACATTTCTTTACTTACATATCCAAGACAAAAAGAAAAAAAAACCTGTTGTTAAATTGATCTATCAAACAACTTGTTCCTACCACTTGAGACAAAATTACCCAAATATTCAGAAAATGAAAGAATTATAAACGCATTCTCAATGAGAAACCGCTTATCTTAATAACATATAATCACAGAAAAGATCGTAGTCAATATTTTTGTACTTATCCTATTTTAGTAATTGAATTATTTTAATACGTAAATTGGTTTCTCTATTACCGCCTGATTTCTGGTATTATGATGGGGTAATGAGCACCACTGAGATTTAATAAAATACACACCGAGATTTTACTGAGTTCAGGAGACGTCTGCTTTCTCGTCAGGTTTTATTATCAAACTTGATTTTAGGCAGACAGTTTCAAAAATCTCTTTTATTATACTATTATTATTATTAAACCTCGATGAAAAATGAATGTGTTTTTTTTTCTAGTAAAGTTGGACATAAATACATGATTGAAATAGAATGTAAATATGGATCCTCAAAAGAAATTGTGCAGTATTTGTTAATGTATTTAATACTAACACTTGGAAATAAGAATCGGTCTTTGTCACACAATGGCAGGATCATATTGCAAATGTATTCACTTTAACCTGGGACATAATTTATCTATTGGTCCCAGCTTTATCGTTGTTTTGATCTGCGATTGATTGGTAAATGATTGATCATGCCGCATGTGTTTTTTTTTTCAATTATGATTATATAAACCTAAAGTCTACTTAAAAAAGAATCCAACTGTTTTATCCAAATATAAGAATTTCCAAGCGTTTTTGGTGTACATCGAAGAAACTTATGCTATCAAGGATTTATGTATAGTAAGACAATATATATATATCCTTGATACTAAAAAACGAACTTTTCGACGTTTCAATAAATTTCGAATTTCATTGGTGCCTGCATTTTCATCAAAATAGTCAAAAATAAATCACCTCGAGCTTAGA